ACACACACACACACACACACACACACACACACACACACACACACACAGTATAATGAGGCTGTGCTCTGATTGGTCCCTACAGGTGTGACCTCTTTTGGGATTGGCTGTGGTCGTCCTCAGAGACCTGGAGTCTACACACGAGTCTCTGCTTTCAGCTCCTGGATCGCTCAGACCAGACGCTCCTCCTCCCCTTCCTCCTCCTCTTCCTCCTCCTCTTCTTCCTCCTCCTGCTGCTGCTGCTGATCCCCTTCCTCCTTCTCTTCCTCCTCCTGATAGTTTTTCAGAGTAAAGTTCTTATTAAAAGATGTTTTGATGAGAACGTAATAATTTTTTTATTAATTAAACTGTAAACTCATTTGATGAGAGAATATTTGAAAAATGTAACTTAGTTAAATTATAAATAAAGTTTGTATCCATGATATAATATATCTTTACCTTTATATATTTCAAAATTAATATTATACGATGTACTTTATTTTATGAGATTTAAGCAGAATATCAAGTTGAGTTCATGAATTTTTTTTATTGCATACTTTAAAATGATCACTAATAATTAATGATCATTGTGATGTCATACAATTTAATAAAGTTGATTGGACAATGAAAAAAAATTAAAACACTTCTTTCTGTATGACGTCATGCATTTACACATTCTGGGTTCAACGAGCCTGTTTTAAAATATAAATAAAAATGTATTATTATTTCACTGTTCACTCATTAACAGGCTTAAAATACCAGAAGAAGAACAGTGAGGGCAGGGAGGCGGGGCTAAAGGAAACACTAGTGTGCATGCTCTGTGGGCCCTCCTGGTATTATTATCTGTATTTGATACGCAGAAGTCTTCCAGCTCTCCAATATACATCATGTCATTAGGACATCCTGCCCAATCCGTATATATATATATTAGTGCTGGGCAACGATTAAAATATTTAATCGCGATTAATCGCATGGATTTTTTGTGATTAATCGCATTGTTATGGCAAAGTCCAATAATGAATTCAAAAGTAGTGTATTGCGCACTTTTATTTTAAAAGTACTGCTATATGAACAAAAGGGCAATAACATTTGGTTCATGAGATGCAGGTAGCATGTTTTATACTTAATGTGAATATAATTCATACTTTGTTGGCATCTTATTCTGAAAACCGGATGTTCGTCTGAAGAAACCGGATGTTGTCTCATGTTAATCTTTCCGCTAACTTTCAAAGTCCTTCGCTCGCTCCAGATCTGTGCCGTTTAAATGCGTGTACGGTGAATTTCAGCATATAGGTGCACTAACATGTAAGTGTGAGTTGACAACGGATATCTGAGTGTCTGCTGACTTTACCGCAGCGATGTCCAGTAGTCTCCAGGGAGAGCAACAGCTGGTGCAGCTTCTCTCTTTATTTCTGCCCCCCCTCGACCAGAAGTGGAAGTCGCCTTTTCTCTATGGCAACCCTGAAGGGACATCATATCTCCAATACAAAACGATAAACATGAGACAGTCTGACTATAGGATGTTTGCTGGCTTTTATCCCACTGTTCTTGTCATCCTCTTGTTGTTATTTATATGTATTGTCTCTTGTCTTTCAATAACAAAAAAAAATAAAAAAAAATAAAAATAAATTATAATAAATTTAAAAAATGCGTTAACGCGCAATAAAATAATTGTCAGCGTTAATTAATGAATGCATTAACGCAAAATTAACGCGTTAACTTGCCCAGCACTAATATATATGTATATACTGTATATGATGTCCTTATAAGTCACCATAGTTACTCATATCATACGTGTCTCAGACTTTGTCCACAAGCTGTTTAAACTAGTGCTGGGCAAGTTAACGCGTTATTATCGCATCAACGCATTCATTAATTAACGGTGAAAATTTATTTATCGCGCGATAACGCATTTTTTTTATTTGTTATTAAGCGGACATTTTTAACACAAGAACCGACCGGCTGGCAGCGAGCGGTGAACAGCTGTTTGTGGCGTCTCTTGTGGTGTCTCTTCCTGTTTCCTTCACCAGATACCACACATATTACGGTAATCAGCGTTGCATTTGTGTCTGACCAAAATACCAAAAAAATAAATAAATAAATAAATGATTAATTTAAATTATTGTTTTAGAGTTTTAAAGTGTTTTGTTTGTAATATGTATAATAAGCATCATTTAGTTATCACTACTGAGAATTTAACAAACATAAAAACATAACGTAGATAGGTTTGCAGTTTTCAAGGTGTATATTTAAATATCATCTCTTACACACATGAAGATAAAGTTATGAACACCGGTTGAATATCTATTATCAGAATCATTATAACTGTGTTATAACTGCTGCTGTGTAAAGGGAATACTGCTGTTAACAAGAACCTTATTTGTTTAAAGTGTTTAAACCAAATGTTATTGCACTTTTGTTCATATAGCAGTACTTTTAAAATAAAAGTGCGCAATACACTACTTTTGAATTCATTATTGAACTTTGCCATAACAATGTGATTAATCGAAAAACAATCATGCGATTAATCACGATTATAAATTGTAATCGTTGCCCAGCACTAGTTTAAACCTAATTTTAAAAGGTTTAATCAAAGATATTCTACATTAAACGAGCTGACGATGGCGGTGGTTCAGGAGGGAACCATCTCACTTCCTTCTGATCTCTGTTGATAGTTGCACATGCGCAGTACCGATCTGACAGAGGACGCACTTATTGGATAGCGTTGGGCAGGCTAACCGGTGTTAGCAGGTAAAGCTAACAGGTCAAATACATGTTTTTAATCATGTCAATGTTCTAGTTAGCCGTCACACTGATGACGTCACATGACCCGTGACGTAGCAAAAGGTTGACAACACCGTTAACGGTCCGGAGCTGTCTGTTAGCTGTTAGCTATTTGTTAGCAGTAGGCTATTTTAAATGTTTCTTTAATGGAACAAAACTGTTTACTTCCGGTTGTTGTTTACAGCAAACTGTCAAAACTCTGAGTGCTCGAAGTAGAAGTACTGTTTGAGGTAGAAGTACTGCGATTCGTAACAACAAGTAGAACAAGTGTGTGTGTGTGTGTGTGTGTGTGTACATGTGTATATATATATATATTTGTGTGTTACAGAGCTTCAACATGAGCAGCCAAGGAGCTGGAAAAAAGGAGGAAGAGGAGAAAGAGGAGAACTTCTACGACTGTCAAGAGACCCTGGAGCCTTCAGGCCGAAGAGAGGAGGAGCAGGAGGAGGAGAGCCCACAGGACTTTACCATTAAAACTGACGGACTGACTGACAGAAGAGACAACACAGGGAGAGAAGGAGGAGGAAGACAGGAGGAGCAGGGCGACAGGCTGCGGGAGGAGGAGCAGGGCGACAGGCTGCGGGAGGAGGAGGAGGAGGAGAAGGGCGACAGGCTGCAGGAGGAGGAGGAGGGTGACAGGCTGCGGGAGGAGGAGGAGGGTAACAGGCTGCGGGAGGAGGACCAGGGCGACAGGCTGCAGGAGGATTCAGATCTAGAGATGAAGGAAGAGAACAGCCAAGAGGTGGAGTTTGATGACGATTACCTGAAGGAGGTAGAGAAGGAGCTGACAGAGGAGGAGAAAGAGGTGACACCTGTTTACCTTTTACACCTCTTGTGGTGACATCATGGTGACATCAGTGTGTGATGCTGTAAATCACAGATATTAAAACCTTCTGTTTTCTTTCAGAGTCGACGGCAGCAAAGTTTAACTCTGAAGGAAAAAGGCAACAGCCAGTTTAAAGCTGGAGGTGAGTGACATCATCGCCACATTTATAAACCAGTACAAACCAGTATAAACCAGTTCTAACACGTCTCTCTGCAGACTGGTTGGAGGCAGAGCGGAGCTACACAGACGCCTTGGTTTTATGTCCGGTTTGTTTCAGCCGAGAGAGAGCCGTGGTGTTCTCCAACAGAGCCGCTGCAAGGCTGCACCTGGTAACTAGCAACATGCTAACAGCATGCTAACACAGAGGCCAACATCATGCTAACACAGAGTCTAACAGCATGCTAACAACACACTAACAACATGCTAACAGCATGCTACATGTTGGGTTATCAACACTGGCCAACAACCCGCTAACAACATGTTGCATGTTAGGTTATCAACACTGGCCAACAACACGTTAACAACATGCGACATGTTAGGCTATCAACACTGGCCAACAACATGCTAACAACATGTTACATGTTAGGTTATCAACACTTGCCAACAACACGCTAACAACATGCGACATGTTAGGCTATCAACACTGGCCAACAAGACGCTAACCTGTTACATGTTAGGTTATCAACACTGGCCAACAACATGCTAACAACATGTTACATGTTAGGTTATCAACACTTGCCAACAACACGCTAACAACATGCGACATGTTAGGCTATCAACACTGGCCAACAACACGCTAACATGTTAGGTTAACAACACGCTAACAACATGCAACATGTTAGGCTATCAACACTGGCCAACAACACGCTAACATGTTACATGTTAGGCTATCAACACTGGCCAACAACATGCTAACAACATGTTACATGTTAGGTTATCAACACTTGCCAACAACACGCTAACAACATGCGACATGTTAGGCTATCAACACTGGCCAACAACACGCTAACATGTTAGGTTAACAACACGCTAACAACATGCAACATGTTAGGCTATCAACACTGGCCAACAACACGCTAACATGTTACATGTTAGGCTATCAACACTGGCCAACAACATGCTAACAACATGTTACATGTTAGGTTATCAACACTTGCCAACAACACGCTAACATGTTAGGCTATCAACACTGGCCAACAACACGCTAACAACATGTTAGGCTATCAACACTGGCCAACAACACGCTAACATGTTACATGTTAGGTTATCAACACGCTAACAGAGGCTGACATCATGCTAACACAGATGCTATCACAGATGCTAACAGTCTGTCTCTCCCTCTCAGGATCTGAAGGATAAGGCGATCTCGGACTGCACCAGAGGTGAGTGATGACATCATTCTTTACCTGTGCAGGTCATTGATTGACCTCTTCATTGATTGGTTGCCTGTGGTTGCTATAGCGATAGACCTGAATCCAGACTATGTGCGGGCGTTGCTGCGGAGGGCGGAGCTTCACGAGCAGACGGACAAGCTGGACGAAGCTCTGGAGGACTACAAGAAGGTTCTAGACCTGGACCAGAACCAGACCACCGCCAGACAGGCCTGTATGGTGAGGAGGAGGAGGAAGACGACGAGGAGTCACACCCTAACCCTGAGTCATTAATACCTTTAAATATTTTACTCTAGTAAAAGTACTAATACCACAATTTTAAATACTCTGGTACAAGTAAAAGTATGTTGGTATTTAATGAATGTACTGAACTAAAAGTATAATCTCTGTCTCTCTCTCTCTACCGGTCTGTCTCTACCTGTCTGTCTCTCCCTGTGTGTCTCTACCTGTGTGTCTGTCTCTACCTGTCTGTCTGTCTCTACCTGTCTGTCTCTACCTGTCTGTCTGTCTCTCCCTGTCTGTCTGTCTCTCCCTGTCTGTCTGTCTGTCTCTCCCTGTCTGTCTGTCTGTCTCTCCCTGTCTGTCTGTCTTTCTCTCCCTGTCTGTCTGTCTCTACCTCCCGGTCTGTCTCTCCCTGTCTGTCTCTACCTGTCTGTCT